TTTCTTCACAGATGCTGCCAGACCTGCTGAGCTTTTCCAGCAACTTCTGCTTTTGATCCCTACCCCAGTCAGAGGCTAGTCCTACTCCCTCACAAAGCAAGTCAGAAGATTCCACGCTATTAACATCGCTGTCATTAAATTCAGTTAAAGCCTCCTTAGCTCACAGAAAGTGAGAAGTGAACTCATGAGATTCGTGAATTACTCTCTACATTCAGTTTTTTTTAATTCAGTCTTGGGGTGTGGGCATCGCTGGCTGGCCAGCATTTATTGCCATCCCTAATTGCCCCTTGAGAACCCCCACTGCAGCTGAAAGGACTCCATCATGATTCAGTTGGTGAACAAACTGAATGTTACACAGTACTGGCCACAAAAGAAACACTATTCACTCAACATGGCCATGCCACAAGAATCTCCTCCCACAGCGATTCATCCAACCCCACCCACATGTTCCTCAATGCCTTTCCAATAACCACTCTCTGGGTAATGGAGGTTCGCCTGATTTCCCTGTAGAATTCATTAGTGACTGTCCAAATGTTTACAACTCCGGCTTTTGGATTCTCCATAATTGGACGTTTTTTAAACAAAACACTCAGAATAACCCAGAACTCCCAATTAACCCTGTCACATCCTGATTCATGGAACAGAATACAAATATAGAATTTGCAGAGAGTTGTAGTGTAACTGCGTTAGTATAACGTTGTAAAGTGGGCTTTCATAAAGAGGGCAATATTTGCGCACCTTTCAGAATTACGGTGAACACGAAGAGTTCATTGGAACTCGAAGAATAAGAGGTGACAGTACAACGTTAGGAGTCTTAACAAGGTAGATGTGGAAAGGCTGTTAACACTTGTATGACCAGAAATCTCAGATTAAAGTGTCACACATTTGAGGCAGAGGTGAAGATGAATTTCTTTTCTCAGAGGGGAGTGAATCTGTGGGAATTCTTTAGCACAGAAGGCTGTTGAGACTGGGTCATTAAGTACGTTCAAGGCTGAGATAGATTTTAAATCAATTAGGGAAGGAATCGAGAGTCACGGGAATAAGGTGTTGAGGATTATCCGATCAGCCATGATGTCATTGAATGGTGGAGCAGCCTCGATGGGCTGAATGGCCTTCTTCAGTTTACGATCGTCTTCTTACAGTCTGTAAAAAGGGGTGGTCAGTTTGCCATTATTTGTCATCTCCACTGAGAAGAACTACAAAGATATTAAATGAAAGACTCTATAGTTGATGAAATTGCTGACATCATTGTCAAGCTAAGCTGTGTCAGCGATGAGTGTTGAGTTCTAGACCACACACATGCTTCGGAGTTTGAAAGTTGTGAGTTGAAACCCCATAGCAGGACTTGATGGAGATAATCCGGGTGTAGTGAAGGAGCGTGCGCTACACTGTCAAAAGATATTGTTTGTTTGATCATATGTTATGTGGGGTCATTGCCTGTCTACTGTAGTAACTTGAGCAGGGGTTAAAGATGCAATGGCAGTAATAAAGGAACAACAGTCATTTTTTTAGCTGTCCTGGTAAGCAGTAGTACCTCAGTCAACACTAACACCTGAATTGATTCACTTTGTCTGTGATACCTTAAGGAGTCTCGCTATCTCAGGCTGTTGGATTTGGCTCCAAACCCAATTGAAACAGAGATAAGAAGATTCTGATCTTTCAAAGAAGCTCACAAGTATTTGGAACTCTCTTCCTCAAAAGGCAGATTCGGTGAATTTCTTTTCGGGCAGTATTAGACAGATTCTTGATAAGAAAGGGGCTGAAAGGTCGGCAGGAATTTGGAGTAATGAATCATCCACTAAAGGGCAGGACAGGCCTGAGGGGCCGAATGGCCAACTCCCACACCTTATTTGTATGTTCATACATCAGAATGGCAGTTGCATCATCAACTCACTGTCAGTGAAGCAGAAAGGGTTTTTATTTCCCCTGGAGTGGTGTCGTCTGAGGCAAATATTGCCAAACCCATAAACTCTACCATCCAGGACAAAGCAGCCCACTTGATTGGCACCACATCTACAAGCGCCCATTCCCTCCACCACCGATGCTCAGTAGCAGCAGTGTGTACTATCTACAAGATGCACTGCAGAAATTCACCAAAGATCCTCAGGCAGCACCTTCCAAACCCACGACCATTTCCATCTAGAAGGACAAGGGCAGCAGACACATGGGAACACCATCCCCTGCAAGTTCCCCTACGAGCCACTCGCCATCCTGACTTGGAAATATATTGTCATTCCTTCACTATCTCTGGGTCAAAATCCTGGAATTCCCTCCCTGATAGCATTGTGGGTCAACCCACAGCAGGAGGACTGCAGCGGTTCAAGAAGGCAGCTCACCCCCACCTTCTCAAGGGGGCAACTAGGGATGGACAATAAATGCTGGGCCCAGCCAGTGACGCCCACATCTCACAAATAAATTTTTAAAACATCTTTCCCCAAGATCTGTGTCCAAGGGGATTTATGATTCAACCAAATTGCAGATCGGACCTTTCCTGCTTCGCAGCTTCATCCTGTGTTGTGCAAAATTCCAGAGTGACTTGCAGAAATCTTTGAGTGTGCACCCCGCCTCCCCAAATGGTCACCATTAAAACCTCCCAACTCCCACACCATCTTACCAGTGGGTTCATCAGTGTCCCCTAACGCTTCTGTCGCTGTCACCTCAGGTTGAACTGGTGCTGGCGGGAATAAAGGTGCAGCCCCTGGAGGAGGTATGTATGAGACCTGCAGAATTATGATGGCCTGTACATGACAAGGAGGAAAGAAAAGCACAATTAGTTAAAACCGGAAGGCATGTCCACTGCAGAACTCTTATCTTTGAAGATAAAAGGAATGCCCCTTTAAGGCCAGCAAACCTGACCACCATTTCTGCACCTTCTCTGCCGCTGTTACACTGTATTCTGCACTCTGTTCTGCTGCCCTGGTGCACTTTGTATGGTGCAATCTGCCTGTACAGCACACAAAACAACACTTTTCACTGTTCCTTGGTACACGTGACAACAATAAATCAAATCAGACTTGGATGATTCAGAGCCCAATTGCTGTCTGACTGGGGAACGTCACAAATTGTATTTTTAGTTGCAGTTCAGCGTTATGTGACTGACAAAATGACCTGTCCAATTAAATTGCCTTTCTCATTCGTGGTCCACGCTCTAAGCTCAGTGCATATCTCTCTCAGCACTAAGTTAGTCAGTGTTTGGATTCAGTCCCAATCCAGAGACCACAGGACACATTCCAGGGTCAATGCAGTACCAGGGATGGAGTGTACTATTGGAGACACGTGATTTAGATAAAGCATTAAACCCACACTTTATCTGTCCTGTCACCTGGATGTGAATGATCCTGTGGTACACTTTTGAATAAAAGTAAGATGAGTTTCCTCACTGTCTTGCCAACTTGTATTCCTCATCGAACAAAAACAGATGATCTGGACACATTCCCAAAGGTATTTTCGAGAGCTCGCTATACACAGACTGACTGCCTGGTGGAACAACACTTCCAAAATAAATGTGAGGGGATTTGGAACCTTCTGAGGTACAAGTACTTGTAAATTCTTCATTCCTTTCTATTCATCTGCACCCACACTGTTAGTCCCCAAACTGTCCCATTATCTGTGTTATACCAGAGACTCTCACCTACACCATTAATCTTTGTCAATAGGTCTAAGATTATCCTCAGTGAAAGATGATTCGATCCACTTGTAGTATATCTGTTTTGGAGCAATGGAGTAGAACATGTACAGGATTTATACCAGCATGGGCCTGATGAGAAGAATGGCCTGTTACTATAGTGTAATACAAGTGAACTGTTGCTCCGAATTGCAGCCAGCTCTGCTCTGACAGCTCAACAACTTTCATAATCAGCAAACAGTACATTGTCCACCAGTGACATCAGGGAGAGTGACCTCAACAAGCTGCTTTTTCTGTATTCATTTACCAGATGTAGGTGTTGCTGGCTAGGCCAGCATTTATTGCCCTTCAATAATTACCCAGAGGTCAGTTAAAAGTCAACCATATTGCTGTGGGTCTCAAGTTATGTGTAGGCCATACCAGGTAAGGATGGCAGTTTCCTTCGCTGAGTGACATTAGTGAACCAGATGGGTTTTTCCAACAATCTCAAAGAACAAAGAACAATACAGCACAGGAACAGGCCCTTCGGCCCTCCAAGCCTGTGCTGACATATTTGGCCCTTCCATACTAAAACTGTCTTCACTTACAGGTTCCGTATCCCTCTATTCCCTTCCTATTCATGTATTCGTCCAGGTGCTTCTTGAATGCAGCTATCGTGTTTGTTTCCATCACCTCCTCTGGTAACGCGTTCCAGGCACTCTCCAACCCTTTGTGTGAAAAACAGGCCTCGCACATCTCTTTTAAATATCCCCGCTCACACCTCGAACTTGTATCCCCCAGTAATTGACCCCTCCACCCTGGGAAAAAGCCTCATTCTTTCCACAACAGCAATAGCAATTGACAACAGTTTCATGGCCATCATTAGACTCTTGATTCCAGATTTTATTGAATTTAAATTCTACCCTCTGCCTTGGTGGGATTCAAACCCAGATCCTCATAACATGACCTGGGTGTCTTTTCTTTTCTCTATTCATTCGCAGGATGAGGGCCTCACTAACCAGGCAGCATTTATTGCCCATCCCTAATTGCCCAGAGGGCAGTTTAGAGTCAACCACATTGCCGTGGGTCTGGAGTCACATGTAGGCCAAACCAGGTAAGGATGGCAGTTTCCTTCCCTAAAGGACATTAGTGAACCAGATTAATGTCTAGAATAATTCTCTCACTACTATGCCATTACCTCCTCATAAACTGCTACTTCAGCTACTACCGGGTCTCAGAATTGGCCTCAGTCTCTGTCCTCACAGCTCACTCACTTGTCAGATTTCTCTAGGTACATGTTGTTTGTCAGTAATGCAGTAACACAAAAGTATTGACTAGATTTACTTCAATAGAGGCCTTTCACTCTGGCTAGGCATGATGGGAAATCAGTGCCTCCATTGGTGTCACTGATTTTCTTACCATCATTAGCAACTCAGCTGTTGCCTGGCAGAAGCCAGCCACTCCTTAGCGTGAGTTTGTAATCTTGAATTCTCCAAATGCTCCCACTGTCAGTGCAGCATCTGATTTAATACATTCTATAGCATGGCAACCTCCATCTGTTTACAATGTCTCCCACTGGAGGATCAGAGTATCAGAAATGCAGAAACTATCTGTGGATGACGCGCTGACAGAAAGGAGCTGAGATGACTGTTCCGTTAGGTTGAGGGCTATATAGAGCAACAATTCTCCTGTAGGGGTTTATAATGAAAGTAAAGCTTCCTCTACACTCCCAGGACAGGGACAGCATGGAGTTAGATTCAGAATAAAGCTCCCTCTACACTGTCCGCATCAAACAGTCCCAGGACACGGGCAGTTAAAGGGTTAGATATGGAGTAAAGCTGCCTGTACATTGTCCCATCAAACATTTCCAACACAGGTACAGAGTCACAGGGAAATATCGAGACCTACAGCATGGCGACAGGCCCTTCAGCCCAAACTGGTCCACGCCGACCAAAATGTCCATCCATGTTAACACCATTTCCCTGCACATGACCCATATCCTTCCAAACCTTTCCTATCCATGTATTCGTCCAAATGCCTTTCAAATGTTGTTAATGTACCCGCCTCAACCACTTCCGCTGGCAGCTTATTCCATATGTGTACCACTCTCTGTGTAAAAAGCATTGCCCCTCAGGTTCCCATGTGTTCTTTCCCCTCTTGCGTTAACTGATGCCCTCTAGTCCTCGATTCCCCAACTCTGGTAAAAAGACTGAGTGCATTCACCCTATCCATGCCTCTCATGATCTTATACACTTCTATATAATGCACCCTCAGTCTCCTATGGTCTAAAGAAAAATGTCCTAGCTTGTCCAACCTCTCCCTACAACTCAGTCTCTTGAGTCCTGGTAACATCCTTGTAAATTTCTTCTGCACTCTTTCCAGTTTAATAACATCCTTCATATAGCAAAGTGACCAAAACTAAACACAATACTCCAAGTGCGGCCTCACCAACATCCTATACAAGTCCAACATAACTTCCCAACTTCTATACTCAATGCCCTGACTGATGAAGGCTAGTGTGCCAAAAGCCTTCTTCACTGCCCTGTCTACCTGTGACTCCACTTTCAGAGACCCGTGCACCTGAACTCCAGGGTCCGTCTGTTCCACTACACTTCTTAAGGCCCGACCATTCACCGTGAAACTCCTATCAGGATTTGACTTTCCAAAATGCAACACCTCACGCTTATTTATGTTAAACTCCATTTGCCATTTCTCGGCCCACTTCCCCAGCTGATCAAGATCCTGCTGCAATTTCTGATAACCTTCCTCACTGACCATGATACCGCCTATTTTAGTGTCATCTGCAAATTTACGAATCATCCCTTGTACATTCTTATCCAAACCATTGATATAGATAACAAACAGCAATGGGCCCAGCACCGACCCCTGAGACACACCACTAGTCACAAGTCTTCAGTCAGACAAGCATCCTTCCATCATTGCTCTCTGCTTCCTACCATCAAGCCAATTCTGTATCCAATTTGCCAGCTCTCCCTGGATTCCATGTGATCTAACCTTCCAGAGCAGCCTACCATGTGGAACCTAATCAAAGGCCTTACTAAAATCCACATAGACTACATTTACTGCCCTGCCCTCATCAACTATCCTGGTCACTTCATCAAAGAACTCTAATGAATTTGTGAGGCATGATCTCCCATGCACAAAGCCATGCTGACTATTCCTAATCAAACCCTGTCTTTCTAAATGCATGTTTATCTTATCCCTCTGAATCTTCTCAAGTAACTTACCCACCATAGATGTTAGGCTTACTAATCTATAATTCCTAGGTTTTTCTTTGCAGCCCTTCTTGAATAAGGGCACAACTTTCGCCACCCTCCAGTCTTCCGGGACCTCACCTGTAGCTAACGATGATGTAAATATATCAACCACGCCCCTGCAATTTCTTCCCTAGCCTCTTGCAGGGTTCTTGGATATATCTGGTCAGGACCAGGTGATTTATCCACCTTCATACATTCTAATCTGTCCAACACCTCCTCTACTGTGGTATGGACTGTCCTCAAGATATTGCCACTAACTTTCCCAAGTTCCCAAGTCTTCATGTCTTCCTCCACAGTAAACACAGAGGAGAAATATTCATTGGGGACCTCACCCATCTCCAGCAGTTCCACACTGGTCCTGGAGGGGCCCTTCTTATTTCTTAACTCCACCCACAAAGCCTCACTGGATGATCCCTCAGTTATTTCATCTCTGACAACTGCTGTGATACCCCCCTTAATAACAAATGCAACTCCCCCTTTATTCTTTTTCCTTTAACATACTGAAAGAATCTCTTTGGATTCACCCTAATCTTCTTAGCCAAAGTTATCTCATGCCCCCTTTTCACCCTCCTGATTTCCTTGTTCAGTAAACTCCTGTATCCCCTATATACCTCCAGGGATTCCCTTGATCCTAGCTGCCTGTTCCTGAGCCATGCCTCCTTTTTTCTGGTCAAAGCCTCAATATCTCTTGTCATCCAGTGTTCCCTACTCCTGCCAACCTTGCCCTTCACCCTCACAGGAATATACAGACCTTGAACTCTAGCTATCTCACTTTTAAAAGCCTCCCACTTGCTGGAGGGCCCTTTCCCTGCAAACAAACTGCTCCAATCAACCCCTGCAAGCTTCTGTCTAATTC